CGCTTTGTGTCCACCCACTCAGCTTTTCCTTAATTTCCTGCTCTTGTGTCTCTGCCGGGCCATCTTTGAGTGCTGTTGAGGTCATGCTCATGCTCTCTGCGGCTGTTTTCTGAACCTTTCTATCATCTGTTCCCCTGCCCCCTCTTTCCCTGCCCAACTAGATACTTCTGACCGAAAATGTGAGACTTTTTCATGGGTGTACTGTTGCTTTTATCCGGAGACTAAGAGGATTATTTTTCGTTGATGCAAATTAATATACTTTCTCCACTTGTAATCAGCATATTCTATTGCACGTATCCAGGAGGCCTTATACTGTAAAAAGCACGTTTGCAATGGAAGACGCATGGCTTTTAGGTATCATAGCTGTAGAAGTGAAGGTAATTACCGCCATTATATACTTACTTTGTCTGCGCTTTCCAACGGCATATGCGGCCACTTAGTGCATCTATCCACTCTGGCAATCCTGTCAGGCGCACACCATGCTTCGTTACATTGTCAGACTATTTCGTATTATTGATCATAGGGAATTTTCCTTTCTCCAGTTTAAGCAGACTGATCCGAAATTCTGTTCATAGAAGAATGGATCAATTGCTAGTTTTCTGTTTGGTATTGTATTTTTCCCATAGAAATAGAACAGAACATTATATAAGGTAATGGAACGAGATAGTCACATTCCTATACCTACTAACGGCTTTTCTGTGATAAGGAACTATCATTTTTGCTTATGCTTTAATAAACTTTAAAAAAACCGAAAGCAAGTTGCGAACTTTGAGATCCACCGAGGAGCCCTGGAATCCATTTCTTATCTATAAATTGCAGATGTAAGATGAATATGAACATATTTTTCGTTTTTGGTCTTTTAAGCTTTTTTTAGAACCTATCCTACCAGTTTCAGGAACAATTTTCCTAATCACTAAGGCGTGGATGACGATAAATAAATTCCGAGAAGAAATGCTGGCGTGAAACCATAGTACCACTGCTTACCAGAGGTAACAACAGCTCCTGAGTTCCAGCTTTAGGACATGCCAGCAATCGTGCCAAAACTGTGTCGTTGATACTTCGGGACCTGTAAGGGAAGTCGGGCTGGTTGGTTCAAAAAAAACTTTTAAAAACACTAAGACTGATAGGAAAACTGAGCAAAAACATCAAGGGCGAACTAGGTACGCATTAGGTTTTTTCAACGAGAGAGTTCTCGCCTATCCAACATTGCAATTACATATGACTAAGGTGCTTGCGATATTTCCGCGCGGGTTGATATTTGTGCTTTTGTGACTCACAGAGTGTTTCCCTGTCGCGTGCTATTTTTAGTGTCTTTTTGTATCGGTTCTTTTATATCCGATATTTTGGTGGCCAATAGAAAGGTCAAATGTGTTCATTTATCTTTCCCTTAATAAAAGTGAAACTCAAGGTTATCAAATACTTTCATCGTCATACAATATCGCCAGAGTTTGCTCTCAGTGAAAAATAAATAACTCCGGCGGTGAATTAAAGAGACAAGTATCATGGGAGATTGGTTCGTTTAGAAGCCACGCTGTTTTATGTTTTTAACGCGTTTGTCTTACATTTAATCTATTTCAGTTGTCTCAGGAATGTTATTTGATTGGAGCAAATTCAAATTTTAATTAGCGGTCCGAACCGGAGTTCGTTGATCTTGACTGTCTTTACAAGAAAACGACTATATATATATATTACTACCGACTACGGCCTATGCCCCACATTACAGCCATTTTTTATAACTGCCTTTGGTAAAGAATTCGTTCAATTGATG